CTTCCAAACTGCTTACCACATCAAGAACTGCTTTGCATCCCACTTGAAATTGATGCCCACAGATGGCAAACCTTCCCACAGCTGCTGAGGCTCCTGCAAGTTTACCTTTGCAAGCTTCATCTCATGGCAAAAGTCCAACAGTGAAGGAAAATAAAACACTGTGTCCTTTTCCTCTGCTTCCCTTGTGTTCCTCACAAAGAGCAGAACGCTCAGCTTGGATACCATGGCAGATACTCAACCCAGGCTAAGCTGCCATCCCATTAGAATCACTCAGACAACTTCTGGTAATCTCACTGCCCATCCTCCTATGGCTTAAATAAAAAAACAGTACTGTGTTCCAGGATGAAGATATTTCATTGGCTACCAGATCCAATAAGAAAGATTTACCTGTGCCCTCCTGTTAGATTCACAAAAAAATTCACGTTCAAGGATGGAACAAGTGTTAAGGAACTTAAAACATGATCACATGTCTCCTTCACAGATAGAATGCAAGAGTAAACTACTTCTGAAAATTAAGAGCTATTAAACACTAGTGAACAAGAGTGACCAAATATGTCAGGAGCAGAGTTTTAAAGGAATACTCAAAATCATTGACAACTGTTAATTGTAGGAAACTAAAATCAGGGCATTAGAATCAGTGTACCTTTTCACTGGAAAAAAATCACATTCATTACCATTCTGTTAGTGCTGCAGACAGACTCTGTAGATCATTCTCTATACAGAATATCATTTATTTAATCTGAATTTAAAATAAAGCATTTAAATCTAATAAATAATCCTTGGGTTTAGCATTATTTAAATGAAGCTGATAACCTATTCCTCTATTACTCAGAGCTTTTACTTTGAATTTGAGTCAAAACACTATGTAGAAAAGAAAACTCTATCCTGCCAGGTTTTTTTGGCAGAGAAATAACTCATACTGGAAATGTGGGAAAAAGTCTTTTCCTTCCCCTTCCCACTAACTTGGTTAACATGGTTCTTCGCATGAGTCAAAGCCATCTCCTCTACAAACACACAAGTTAAAAGCAGTGTTGGGAGCAACCCTGCATTTAAAAAGGTGACACATGTTCTAACCAGGGCTATCTTTGCTATGAGCAAGTCCACTGACACTTGAGAATTAAAAATGCCCTCTGAGACAGATGTTTTTACTAAAAGTGCAATTGAGTCATCATGCCTTTTTGCTGTCTAGCATTTTGCTGTTCTCCTCCATCACAAATAATCTGGTTCTACAACAGCTCCCGAGAAGTGTTGAAATATACCTGACAAAAATGTCAAGGAATTGTTCAATTCCCACTGTTTAAATATCAACAGAAACTATTTACCAATATTATTAATGCTTGCAAGTACTTAAAGTAGTAAGTAAAACACTCTTATGACTTGCCTGTACACCTCTCTTACCAATGAAATGTGAAAGCCAGGAGACTTGCCCAGACATCCTATGTAAACAGATGTCCCACAGAGAAAAACTACATCGAAAGCACACCTTATCATAGGGTTATAAATCACACAGCTTGCTTTGCAGTTCTCAGCAGATTCCAAATGTTCTTGCTGAGATACCTGACTTTAGCTGGAGGTCTTCACTTTTCAAGTCCCAAAGAGGTTACACAAACAATATTTAGGATAAAGTACAGCTTCACTTTCAAAAAGATGGCTTTTCTGGTAGCAAGTTCAAGCAAAATGAAGAAAAGGCATGAACCTTGTTCTTATGAAATCCAAACGTACAACACAGCACTTCCTCACCAAAGTTACTTACTTGCATGAACAGGTCCAAAAAAATCCACAGCACTGAACTCACACGTAGTAACTGAGAACATACAAAAAGCCTCCCTTTTTTCAGCACAGGATAAGGGAATCGATCCAAGTCCCTTTGAAGTTGATCAAGAGTACTCCCACTCACTTTCCAAGAGCTAAGTCTGACTCCCACTAGAGTAAATATTTATTACTGAATATTTAGTGTTTCCTCATCTGTTAACCCCAATGTGAAAATCACTCAAAGAATAAGTGAACCTATCTGCCTAGAGTTCATATACAGAACATATGCAGAGCTAGATGACAGTCATAATAACTTTTTTTTTTTAGCTTTTTCCTAACTATTAGGCCAACAGAGGGTTCTTCCCTATTCTGGAGGAAAAGACACAAGGCTGAAGAAATTATACCTTTACAGTTATCCTACTACTGGCTCCCAGAAGAGATAACAGGATCTTAAGGCTCTACGAAAAACGTGAGAGTAACAACTGAATTATAAGAAAGCAGTGTAAATGCAACAGGATGTATAATAAAAAGATTAACCTACAAATTTTTCAAAGATAAATGTATGCAGGAAACTTTGGAAGAAACATTTTAGTGAATAGCCTTCATTTCTACATGTTGCCTATCTAGACAATTTTGTTTTCTTCACCTACATGTTCCTGAAGCCCCAATTAGGAAATTTGCTACACATATACAACACTGTGTTCAGAAGAAGTCTGTCAAGAAGCTGTGCAGTCCTGAAGCCACTCTGTATCAGAAAGAAATCAACAAAACGGTAAACTGAAGGCATGACAAACCTAATTAAGATGCCTAGAATTACATCTTCTAAATAGAAAGGGTAAAATACCTCACTCCTTTTTTGGCTGTCCCTTTTATACAGCCAGGTTAAATTCTGAGAATAGTGGAAAGAGGGAGGAAGAAAAATTTTAACTGAATCAGAGAGAGGGTAAAAAAAAACAATCCTGGTAAAAGGGTTGTAGCAGGTACTGCTGCTTTAGCAGTGAATTTTAAACATCAGATTTCAATTCCTTTCTGAAACAACAAACACATACCACAGAGCTATAATAAATCCAAACACAACAGATTAGACTAACAAAGCAACAGTGGGTCTGCACTATTTACATATACAAATCCAATGGATGGACACAAGAGAACATCAAGACAAATGCACAGTAACATATCACAAAAAGAAGGTGCAGATGGTATACTAACTGAAGTGATTGTATTTGTCTCTGGACAGTTCTAGTTTCACTGCTGTTCACTATGCTTATGTATTACATTTTTCACAAAAGGGGAGAGAAAGAACAATAAATCTTTTTTTTTTTTCTTCAAATCTTGGCTTCCCAAATCAAATCAATTTTTATTATTTGGTTGTTCATGAATCTGAAAGTTTCTCCTCATTGTGGGAGCAGGGAGATTTCAACTGCTAAGTTTACATATAGATTTTTTTTGTACTACGTAAAAGTAAATTAACACACACGCACATGTTCAGATAACTGTACCAGTGCATAAATGTCACTGGAGCGATGGCATTAACACTGAAACATTTAATCTTATAAACCTAAAAGCAACAGGAATTGTTTCGATGATCAACTGATGAATTTTTTTTTCATTTGGTTAAATTTTTTTTTCATTTGGTTAAATACAAAAGCACATAGTCCTTTACTACAAGGTGTTTATGCACTTAACACACATTTGCTCCATAGCACTCCCATGACAAAAAACAGCCAAACAATTCCTACCTGTACCACATACAGAACAGATACCTTCTGCTTATCACCTGTTTATTTTGTGCATTACATCTTCTCACTTCCCTATTTCCCACCTTTAATGCTCATACACATTATTTATTCTTCATTCCCTTCAAAAAGCTGACTATGATGTTGAGCTTTCAAAGGAAAGAGGATTTTTTAAAATGTCAACCAAGTAGAGAAAATGAGTATCACACAGCCACAAATAGATTCTGAATGCACCTTTGCAAGTTATATTATTCACTGAAGTCACCAGACCCTGGTCAAATGATCCCTACTGACAATATCCTGCCAGATTTCATTAAATGCAGGTCTGGAAATGCATATTCCTCCCAAACACAGGCTCCTTCTCTCCACAGGTCAAGGAATGAAGGAATAAACCACTACTGCAGGTTGTTACCTGATTTGATTGAAAAAACAGAAAGACCAACAACTGTATCAGCAAATGATTTCTAACTGCCCTGACAGCACCCTCTGTTTTCTGCAAATTCAGCTGCACGAACTGCAGCCCCAGAAACACATAAGTGACAGTATTATTTATTTGGTAATACGAAGAGTACTGTACTAAATGTAATAAACTGGGTTATCAGAACAGCTAGGCTGTACACCCAGGTGGCATGAATTATGCTCCTCTCCTTCGTAGATTGCTCTCAGGTATCCTGTGTGACACTACTGAATGGAAATAACTAACACAGTACTGTCTACTGTGGCAGCACTTCACATGCTAACACACCTAAAACTCACCAGTGAAGGGCCAAGGGCACCCAACCATAGTCCCCAGCTGTGATAATAAACACCACGTCCCTGTGACCCACGGCAAAGTAGGAGTTGCAGGAGACCCTCATTTCCAGCAGTAATTTTTCAGGCCTGTCTAGGATCAGCTCCCAAGCATTGGATCACTTGATGGGGAACAGAGGCATGGATGGGAGGAAAGTTTCCAAATACTTTGTGCTACCAGTCCCATTCAGAAGAAACCGAAAAGTACTGAGCAGTGAGCTACAAAGAGCTCATCAATTAGTACATTTTATAGCATGTACAGAAAATAAAATTGTTTCCCTTTTGCACAGAGCTCTGCAATGGCTTGAGTACACATTGGCACTATAACACTATCTGAAGCTGCCCAACTTCAGAGCACGCACTTAAGCAACGCTATGCTGCCTCTTTGAGCAAGTCGCTCTTTTACCAATGACATTTCGACGAGCAGAAAAGGATTTGAGACACAGCGTACAGCGAACTGCCGTGCAAGCGTTCCCGCAATCCGGAGGTCTCCCTCAGAGAGGGAGTCTAGATTTTTCCCGTGCTAGCCTCCAGCACAACTTTTGCCATTTAGAGCCCCGTCGAGGAGCAGAATGCGAGCAGGCTCCTGCGGCCGCGGGAGGACAGCAGGACACCAGGTTTGGGTGGCGTGGCGCTCCGCGGCGGAGCGAGGGCCGCGCCACCTCCCTCCCCGCCGGCGGGCAGGGCGGCAGCCGCCTGCTCCGCTCCCCTCCCGCTACTCACCCCCGCGACCCGCCGGACCGGAGCGGCGGCGGCGAAGTCCGGCGGTGGCAGGCGGCGGCGTCCGCGGCACATCAGGACGATCAGGGTGCCGAGCGCGGCGGCCGCGGCGGCGCAGCCCGCGTAGAGGGCGAGGCGGAGCAGCAGCAGCGCCAGGCACGGCCGCCCGCCGCCCGCCGCCTCGGCCCGTTCCTGTCCCAGGTGGACGACAGACACGGCCAGCAGTCCCAGCCCCGCCGCCAGCAAGAAGCGGGACGAGCCGGGGTCCTCGTCCTCCTCGTCTTCCGCCGCCTCCTCCTCGCCGCCGCCGGCCACAGCGGCGGCCGCCGGGGCGCTGCGGCGGCGCGTCTCGCCGCCGGGGCCGTGCG